ATCCTGCGCACACCCGCGCCTGCACACGCGCGCACACCCGCACGCAGACGCAGGATCCTGCCCCCTCCCCAGCCCAGCAGCCCCCAGCCCCGGCTCTCCCACACGCTCTTTCTGCACACACATGCACACACCCCCCCCGGCAGAAGTGTATGTGTATATATATCTATAAATATATATGTGTGTATATATAGAATTGTAATTTTTATATGTCTGTATACACACACACATATATACAGATATCTCTACATAATCTACATATATGTGTATGTATATATCTCTACAGATACATAGATGTGTATATATCTATATGCAGACACACGTGTAGATATACATATAATTGTAATTTTTAGATATATGTGTGTGCAAATATATATGTAAGCATACGTAGATATAAATAGGTATTGATATATAGGTATAGCTAAAGGTACAGGTATTTAGGTACAGCTATATCTATGCAGGTGTGTGTATATACTCACATCTATGTATTTTTATATACGTGCATATAATGTATTCGTAATTTTAATACGTGTGTGTTCATGTGGATATATATGCTTACATACATATAAAAGTAAATACATAGGGATGTGTATATATATATAGGCAAGGTATGGGTAGATAGGCATAGACATATATGTAGGTATGGATGCATAGGTATGTATTTACATAGGTGTATATACACATACATGTATCTGTGTGTATATATGTATATATACACATAAATATATATTTGTAATTTATATATGTGTATATACACACACACACATATGTAGATATAGATCTATACATATCTATATCTCTATACAAGGTATGGGTAGATAGGCATAGACATATATGTAGGTATGGATGCATAGGTATGTATTTACATAGGTGTATATACACATACATGTATCTGTGTGTATATATGTATATATACACATAAATATATATTTGTAATTTATATATGTGTATATACACACACACACATATGTAGATATAGATCTATACATATCTATATCTCTATATGGTATATATAGGTATATAGATCTGTGTGTATATATAGACACACATACGTATGTATTTGTAATTTTTATATGTTTATACATAAGTGTAGATATAAGTAGATACAGAAAAAGGTGTATAGATATAGCTACAGATATATATTTGTAGTTTTATACATATATATATATATGTAGTTTTATACATATATATGTCCCTGCCCACGGCAGGGGGGTTGGACTAGATGACATTTAAAGGTCCCTTCCTGATTCTCTATGAGTATATATATGTTTATATATGCAAGCAAACATCTATGTAGTTATATAAATAGATATACATATGTAGATAAAGGTATGTAGGTATAGATACAGATAAATCCGACATATCTAAAGGGTGTGTGTGTATATACATGTGTGTTTGTGTACACAGACCCCCACACAAACACATACATAGGGAGATCTGTGATGTGTGTGTGCGTGTATACACATACACCTCCCCGCCCCATATTTATATACATACACACACACGTTTATGGTAGGGATATAAGTATAGCTATATCTACATATATAGTGGATAAACACACACACACGCATGTCTATGCGTAGAGCTAAAGTTTTGTACATAAATTTACATAAATTTGTAATTTTTATATTTTTGTGTGTGTGTATATAGGGACGTGTGTGTATATATATAGATAGGTATTGGCAAAGATATGTGTGTTTCTACACAGAGTACATACATATATATATTTCTATAGCGATATCTAAATTGCAAGCATGTATATGTCCATGTATATATATAGGCATACATTCATATATAAGGTATAGATGTGAGTATATAGTTATATAGCTAGGTGTTGATATAGATATATCTGCACATATATATGTATATACACACATGTATATATCTATTTGTAATTTTCATATATGTGCGCATATATATGCATACAAATATATATGTAACTCTATCAATATATTTACATGGATAAGTACATAATCCATATATCTACATATATGGATATATACCTGTAGCTATATAGATATATATGTATGTATGTACACAAATACATATCTACATTTGTGTTTGTATACATATTGCATATGTAATTTTTATAGATGCGTGCATATATATCTACGTACATAGATCAAGATATATAAATAAGGATTGATATCTATAAGGATAGGTATAACTATAGGGATACAGGTAGAGATAGATCTACATCTATATATACAGCTGTAGATGTATGGGTGTATGTATATACACACTTGTGATTTATGTATGTGTGTGCATATACAGATACATCTGTGTAAATACAGCTAAAGGTAGGTGTAGATATTGTATCTACACAGCTGCTTATAGATATGCATATAGATGTATGCACACAGGTATATAAAATGTACAAATACATGCATATCCATACGTGTACACGCGTGTGTTCCTGCGTGCACGCACACTCACACACACACACACACACACAAAAAAACCCCCCCCCCCCCCCCCCCCCCCC